CAGTGGAGCAGATTATGATGATGATTGCCTTTTCCCCAAAACTGGGACTCAAGGTGGCTAGAGTTAGGCATTAAGAACTCAGTAAGATATGGCTGTAGTTATAATACTTTCCTAATTGCTAATGGAGTATATAGGCTAGATCATGCTTCTCATACCACTCTAACAATGACATCTTGAGATTAATGTATTGGTCATAGATAATTGACCTCACAAGACTGTTGTGAGAAAAATCTAGGTTGAGAGATAATGATTGCCTCAACCATTGATTTCAAGGAAGAGTGAGCATCTAAACCTTCTTTTCCACAGGCCTAACCACTGCTCCATGCAGGCTGTCATTCCCCCCCCCTTAAAAGTATGATATGAAAGGGAAGTATATGCTCACAATTGTATGATAATGCAGACACTACATTCTCAGGCTACGAAGTACAAGTTATCCTATGGCTCTTTAGTTGTGTTATTTGGCTCAATGTTTGAGCAATGTAAACTTTCATGCTGAAATTTTATACATATATAATTTGAGAGAGGCATGCTAACTTAAAATAATGAACAAATGCATCCCTATAAAACATGAAGAGATCTTCAAAGAATTTATTCTGTGTTAAAAGATAATTACTATGTAAAAAGAAGCCCATTAAACTGTGGAGAATGCAATGTGGTTCTACATAAAACACTCCTTTCACAATATTGTATTAATTCTCTGCAGTTCCACAGCATAAGTAAAGCCCATGTTTACTCAGAAACAAACTCCACGGCATTCAAAAGAACCTGAGCTCAAGTGTACATAGTACTGTAGTCAATTGAAACTTCATGTAAAATATAGGCAGGGTGAAAGGATGTCATAACTTCAAAGGAGGACAAGGCACTGCAAAATATAGGACATTAAAGACAAATGGAGGACATGACTAAATAAAAGCTGAAACACTAATATAAATGTAAATTCATGCTTCTTAGTCATACTCAAAATGGAGGACATTTTGAAATTCCCTCCAGGACAGAAGGTTGAAATGTAGGATATATCCTGGAAAAGGAGGATGTCTGGTCACCCTGAATATAGGATTATTATTTTTTAATTGAAAAAAGAGGTGTCTGTTGTCTGTAAAAGAATTTCAGAAATACTGGCTTTAGACACTGACTGCTTGTAGCCAGATATAAAATACCCTTCCTATGTTAAATAAGGTTTTTTAAATTTAAAAAATCCTACCGTCCATATGTTTTCTGATTACAGAATGTTGTAGTTCCATATGTTTTTAACTCCAGAATTATGACTACACATGTGGAATCTCCACTTCTGAGCAGGCATCTTTAGATTGTATTACTTTTAACGCTTCTTTGAAGCTGAGAAGTCTATTATTGTCTGTTACTATCAACCAGCCTGCTTTTGAGTGGCTGAGTGCCTTTCTGGTGGGTATGTTTGTTTAAGCAATAACAAAATAATGTGTAAGAGAGATTTGGGATGCACAGCTGTAAAGGTAATACAGATTACATCTCAATTAACCTGAGCAAGATATGAATTGTTTAGTCTGCTTCCTCTGGCAGCTGTGCAAACTGAACTTCCATTTACTCAAAGACCTAACATGCTAACAACAACAACAGCAACAAAATTCAGCTATTGTCAAACGATAATTTCTGCAGTTCACATTGGTGTAATCCTAAACTATTAAAGGCCACTGAGGTCTCGCATTTTCTTTAATGATGTGGTGTCAATTACAGAGTAATAAGCCTGATGGAACTTTTAATATTTAAGAGTACAGTTCCTGGATTTTAAAATATTTAGACAAACTAACTAAGATCCCCTCCAAGTTTTACATGTTCTGGCAAGGAAACTACACAGGTACCATATCAGTTTGTGTTTTGTCCCACAAAGCAAAGAGCAAAAATAAAATAAGGCAAATGATGTCAGAGGAAAGGGAAATGATAATAATCAACCAACCAGTCAATCGTATCCCACCCAGCCCTAGAATTCAAGGTGGCATACAAAAAGAAACAGATACAGTTAAAAAGTTGACATTATTAAAAACATACAAAAGTTAAAATATAATCATCAATAAGTTTATTGAATCTCCCCTCCTGCAAAGCTGTAGTTTTCATTTCATTTACATCCCACATTCCAGTGGCTGCTTCATCTAAAAAGCAGGCAGAGAGATTCTAATCATGATCTCTGATGACACATCCAGTTTGGTCCTATAACAATTTGAAGATTTTCTTTGTAGGTTTCCAGAGCAGGGGAGAGGAATGAGTGGAGTGGAGCTCTTATCATCCCTGACTATTGACTTTGCTGCTTAGACCTGACAGAAACTGCATTCCATCTGTCTGAAAGGTCAAATAAGAAATTCCCCACTCCTATTCTGGGGCTTCTAATTGTAATCAGGCTTACTATTGAGACTTACATCTGATCCTAACCAAGGGGGGTTGCAGACTGCCAGAAATAGTGCAAATTGACTCCACTTTTAGGGTTAGGGTTAGTGCTAGGAAATCATAGGAATTGTTTTTTGTTCTGGGACATTGAGCCTTCTCTGTCAGAGAGCTCTGGTGCCACAATAAACTACAGTTCCCATGATTCCCTAACCCTAACCCTAAAAGTGGACTCAATTTGCACTATTTCTAGCAGTCTGCAAACCCCCCAAGTTTACTCAGGTGGAAGCTCTCCTATTTTCTGTGGGATTTACTTTCAAATAAGGTAGTTTGAAGAACCAGCATGGTGTAGTGCTTGAGTGCTGGACTAGGACACTAGGAAACCAGGGTTTGAATCCTGGCTCAGCCATGGAAACCCACTGGGTGATCTTTAACAAGTCACACACTCTCAGCCTCAGAGGATGGCCATGGCAAACCCCCCTGAAGAAATTTGCCAAGAAAACCCCACAACGGTTTGCCTTACAGTTGCCACATGTTGGAAGTGACTTAAAGGCACACAACAGCAACAACAACAAGGTGATTTGGGTAGGTTGAAGCTTCACGTACCATGCAGCCTCTGTAAAATTATTGGCATATTGCTTCAACAGCAGCAATTTTTGCACTTGAACATTCTCAAAATATTCAATATAAAATACATCTAATGCAAGGTTAGGCAACTGGGAGTTTAAGGGGCAAGGTTAGCATCCTAGCAGACCTTGAGGGGCCACACCTCATCACCTCACCAATAATAAATTGTCCCCATATGTTCCCCCAAAACCCATAAGGGCTGTGAGAGGCACTTTTGCCATGCTTTTAGGCCTCCCTAGGTCATTTTAGGCCTTTTTTCAAAATAAATGACTGGAAGTAATTTCTGATTTTCTTCTGGTTTTTTTTAAAAAGCCTTTCCTCTGCCTAAAATATTTTTTTTGGGGGGGGGCATGGCAAACATACCACAATGCCCTCAACAGGGCATTTGAGTACAAAATACATTTTTAAAAAATTACAATTTTTTTGACTCCAGGGGAGGCTTAGAGTCACAAAAATGGCCCGGGGGGGGGGGAATTCATGTGGTATGTGGGCTGTTTTTCCCCACTCCAGGCTAATGCTTTACCACATGTCAGGATTGAATAGCTATGCAAAATTTTGTGTCCTAGCAAATGATTAATAAAAAGTGTGATTTATGCTTCCCATCCCCACCCCCTTGTACTCAAGAAGAGTACATTTTTGACTTGAATAACCAAGGGGTGAAGGTCCATTTAAGAATATATTAAGAGGCAGCTGGAGACTAGTACTGCTT